CACACACTCTTTTTGCACACTCACTCTTTCTCTTTCACACACACTTGATATCTCTTGACTTAGGTACTCTCTTCGGTCCATAGCATATAGATTTTTTGAAAGTCAAACCTCACAAAGTTTGACCAGGATGTGGAGAAAAACATTTACATCTAGAACAACAAACATATATCATTAGGTTCATCACAAGATGTAGTTTCATATGATGTATCTTTAGTATTGTAGATATAAATAATTTTCTCTATAAACTTGGTCAATTTTTCCAAAGTTTGACTTTAAAAAATCTATATGCACTATATTATCGAACAGAGGGAGTATCTCTTTCTCTTTCTCAACTCTCTCACGTACCACTCAGCCGTATCAGGGCTCCTCTTTCTCTCTCAAACTTTATATTCCCTAGGCCACACATACACATATCTCGCTTGCACTAGATAAACCCATCTAACACTCTCCCCCTTGTTCTCTCGCTATCTCACACACACCCCTCGTAAGTACCATCATCTCCCACTCCATTATAGGAACATGCACTCCCCTAGGTATGACTATCTCTCACTATCCATCACAAACACACGTATTGTCTCCTTCCATCCCTAGGTCTATCTCGATCTCTCTTGGGGTATCTTTCTATAGCGCGCACACCTTGTCACTCGATCTCCCACCCATATAGTCCCCTCATGATCTTGAGGGGATCTCTCTATCACAAACACACACTCTCTCCCTTCCCATATCTGGATTTTCTGCATATGTCTCTCTCGACCTCTTTCCCTTGTTTGCCAGACCTCTCTTGGCCATGTGCTAGGGGTCTTTCTCTCTCTATTGCAAACAACCACACACTATCTTCACACCTTGCTTCCGCTCTCGTAGATGCACACGTGATATGTTTGTATAAGACACACACACACACACTTTTTCTCTATGTTATCGTGTGTTGTCCATTTCCCTTTCACACACACACACACACTTTTTGCACACTCACTATTTCTATTTCACACACACTTGATCTCTCTCTAGTTAGGTACTCTTCCATGTCCATAACATATGGATGTTTTGAAAAGTCAAACCTCACAAAAGTTTGATCAGGTATATGTGAAGAAAAAATATTTACATTTGGAACGATCATTAGATTCATCACAAGATGTAGTTTCGTATCATATATCTTTGGTATTGTATATAAGCAATTTCTCTATAAACTTGTTCAGAGTTTTAAAAGTTTGACTTTTCAAAAAATTATAGGCACTACATTATCGAATGGAGGGAATATCTCTTTCTCTCTATCTCTCTCACGGGCCTACCCTCTCACTCGATCTCTCTTTACCGAGGGATTATATGGTCACTGGCTTAGCGTATCGCTCTGTATACTATTTAGTTGTCTCGTCAACCAGTCTACATGGTGCCTTGTCAGCTTGTGTTCTCTATCTGGGTGTGCTGGCCCATGTGGCAGTGGGTGAAAATAAATAAGCTAGAGGCCCATCTGCCATAGGGTGAGATAAACAAACTAGAAACCACTTGTCGTAGCACCCCACACGCTACTAAATTAAGTGCACACTTCTTCCATGTTAATACACACATTACGACAACGCACATACACCACTGCGCCGCATGCACGCATGGACGCACTCGTGCACACCCAACACACAATACACACCAGCATACGTGTACATTGGCTGCGATGGACGACAAGACGGCCAACAGACGGAGGCGGCTCGAGCCAAAACCGCATCCAACGAGCGTGGACTTCATCAACAGTCTCCCCGACGACATGATGCTCATCATCATCGCCCCCACCAAATCTGGCGTGCGGACCACCCTGCTCTCCCGGCGATGGCGCCCCCTTTGGGCTGCGTCCCCCTCAATCTCACCGTCGATAACTGCGATGGGGATTGCAAACACATGGCTTTAATCTCCAAGATCCTTGCATCGCACCCTGGGCTAGCCAGACGCCCTGACATCCGCATATTCAATACCAACTGTAAGGTCCAAGCCAATTTCGACGAGTGATTTTTATCCCCCACCCTAGATCAGCTCGAGGAGCTCAGGTTTGAAAGTGGACGATGTCGCTCTCTGCCGCCATCAGCGCTCCACCTTGTGCCAACGCTGTGCCGCGCTAGGTTCAGCTCCTGCTATTTTCCCCAGATTAATGCCGCGCTCGCTCATCTTCTCTCTCAACTCAAGCAACTCAACGTCTTCGACATTGGCATCTCAAGGAGGCTATGGAGCACCTGCTCCATGACTGTACGACGCTCGAGTACCTTTGTCTTCAACAGATCCACGAGTTCATTAGCCTCCACATCGCCTCAATGAATCTCTGATGGATTTATGTATCTTGCTAGCCCCGCAACAAGACGATACTTGGGAAGAGATCAATTGAGTTGTTTCACGATATGGTCATTGAGAATACTCCTTTCCTTGAGAGATTGCTTGTATCTGATCTAGAAGGTCCAACAAAAATCAGGGTCATTGACGTGCTGAAATTGATAGTGTTGGCCTACTCATCTGCCAAATTATTCGAACTTGTTATTGCATCCATAATCATTCAAGTACAACACTCTTCTTCTTCTTCTTGAAATTCACATTTTAATTTTTTTTCTTGATGTATGCTTGACTGTCATCCAAAAAAGGATCCCCACAAGTTTGACCCAGTCTGTATGCACAGTGAAGATCTTGACAATAAAATCTATCGACCCCAATCTAGATCAAGTTGTCGGGTTCCTTAGATATTTTCCGTGCATGGAGAAGCTACTCCGAGGTGAAACTTCTTTCCTATTAAATGTGAAGCGCTAAATAGGATCCGGAGAGCAACTAGTTGAGGAACGCTCCTTCAGGAGCCTCCCCAACGATCACACGGGGTGGGCTGAGAGCGCGCCACTTGGCGCGCTGTGAGCGCTCCCTTCATATTTTGTTTTTCTATTTTCCATACGCATTTTTGATTTTTAGATGGTTTTTTCGACTTTACGATTTTCCACCGGTCTTTCTTAGCTTTTCGATAAAAAATTATTCTTTTCCTGGAGAGGCATGGATTTTCTTCCGCGAGAGACACATATTTGTTTCCGCGAAAGGCACGGCTGTGCCTCTCAGAAACGAAAAAAAAACGCATTTTCTTTTTTTTTCCGCGAGAGGCATGGTTTTGCTTCTGCAACATGCCTCTCGGAAACGAAAAAAACACGTTTTCTCTTCTTTTGTTCTTCCGTAAGAGGCACAATTTTCCTTCTACGAGAGGCATGACTGTGCCTCTTGAAAATGAAAAAAACGCGTTCTTTTTTTCTTTTTCCGTGAGAGGCACAATTTTGCTTTCACGAGAGGCATAGCCATGCCTTCGGAAACGGAAAAAATGCGTTTTCTGTTTTTCTTTCTTTCGTGATAGGTACGATTTTGCTTTCGCGAGAGGCACGGTCGTGCCTCTTCAAAACGGGAAAATGCGTTTTCATTTTTTTCGGTGAGAGGCATGGTTTTGCTTCCGCGAGAGGTACGACCGTGCCTCTCGGAAACGGCTTTCGGAAAAGGAAAACAAAACGTGATCTTGGTTCGGCTTTTTTATCCTTTTTTTGGAAAAAGTTTGTCAAAACCTATTTACATAGGATCTAGTTTTGAAGATCTTGACATGAAGAATCCAACGATTAAAATGGTTCGAGATTTGGACACACGATTTAAGAGATAAAACGTTTTGAATAAACGAATCTACGAAAAAAATTGAAAATTCACAGGTTAGCCACTTGTCGCAACCTGGAGAGGTTGGAGTAATCTTTCAAAGGAGTACTCTTTGATTAGTGATTTCACTCAAATTAGGACTAAAAGGAGCAGGTGCTAAATCGAAATCACTAATTGAGGACTATTCCTTGCAAAGATCACTCTAATTCCCCTGGCAACGCGCCACTTGTCGCAACCTGGGAGTGTTTTCTTTTTTTCGTAGATTTGTTTATTCAAAATGTTTTATCTCTCAAACCGCGCGTCCAAATCTCGAACCGGTTTCATCGTTGGATTCCTCGCGTCGAGATCTTCAAAACTTGACCCTATGTTGATAGGTTTTGACAAACTTTTTTTTCATGAAAAAAACCGGACGAAAAACCGAACCGGAAGCACAGGTTTTTTCCCTTTTCGAAAGAGGCACGCCCGTGCCTCTCGCGGAAGCAAAATCGTGACTCTCGCGGAAGGGAAAAAAGAAAACGCGTTTTTGTTCCGTTTCGAGGAGGCACGGCCGTGACTCTCGTGAAATCACAACCGTACCTCTTGCGGAAGCAAAACCATGCACAAAAGAAAAAAAACAGAAAACACATTTTTCCTTTCCGAGAGGCACGGCCGTGACTCTCGCGAAAGAAAAAAAAATAGAAAACGTGTTTTTTTTCTCGTTTCCGAGAGGCACGGTCGTGACTCTCGCGAAAGCACACTCATACCTCTCGCGGAAGCAAAACCATGACTCTCGCGAAAGCTAAAAAAAACAAAAAACACGTTTTTTTTCGTTTTTGAGAGGCACGGCCGTGACTCTCGCGAAAACAAAACCGTGTCTCTCGCGGAAGCAAAACCGTAACTCTCGCGAAAGGGAAAAAAAGTAAACGCGTTTTTTCGCGTAATTTTTTTTTTCAATTTTTTTATTGAAAAGCTAATGAAGACCGTTGGAATACCAAAACGTCAAAAAAAACCCTGAAAAAAAACCATTTAAAAAGCCGAAAATGCGTGAGAAAAATAAAATAAAAAACAAAATCCGGAGGGAGCGCCCAGAGCGCGACACGTGGCGAATGACTGAGAGCGCGCGAAATGGCGCTGATCATTGCAAGGCTCTCGAAGGAGCGCTCGTTAACTAGTTGCCCTGGTGCTAAATCCACACTCGGTGCTACTTTTGCACCCGCTCAAAGTCCAAATTGGCATGTATCATTGAGCCCATAAACCATGAAAGCCCAGAGCCCATATCCTGGCCGTTGATCGGTCTCACGGCCAGTGTGCAGCTGCCACGTCACCGCGCCCAATCCCCGGAACGGCCGCAAAGGTAAGTGAGTGGCGCGAGCACGAGGATGCACGGACAGGCGAGAGGGAGAGAGGGAGGGAGCGCGCGGATTCCGGTTGCTCGCTGTTTGATGCGCTGCGGGCGCGGCTGCAGCTTCCTCCGTCCAGGCGTCCACCCGATGCCGCTCCTCGCCACCCCACCCTATATAATGCCGCGCACGTCAGCGGCCACCGCGGGCCCCGCCACTGCCACCTCTTCCGGTACCTGCTCCCTCCGGGTCCGCCTCCGCGCACCAGGGAGATCCGCCGCCGCCGCCTCCTCCTCCCGGCTCCCTCGCGCCATGGCCGCCACCGGAGCCGATGCCGCCGCCGCTCCCCCGTCCCTGCTCGTCTTTTCAGGTGACTCTCCGCTTCTCACGAGCGATGTTGCCAGTGGCGTGTGCGCGCGGCGTAATCGGTGGGGGTACGCGGTCGTTTTCAGCGCGCGCTGGCGTGTGGCACTCGGCGACACGCGTGAATTGGTTGGGATTCGACGGGCTAGGACAACCGCCATTTCCAGGTCGCCGTGCCACCGGTGTGCGGTGTGCCTATGATGAATAG